ATTGCCCTATTGATATAAAACAGGGTTAATGAGGAAGACATGAAAAAAAATTGAGGAGAGATGAGTGCAAAAAACTTAAAATCCATGAGAAAAATTGCTAATCAGAACGTCACACGCTCGACCAGATGAGCTACCAACAAGAACGACCTAAGCGACACCTTTTCATGATCAGACGACGGAAACAAACGCGCAAAAATGGAAGATAATTTTAGAAATTCCGTCGCAATTGCAAACTTGAAAACCGAAAAACAGGGTCATTCCACAATGTGGCTAGTCAATATTTGAAAAAAATAGCTCGATCCTAAAACCAAGAAACACCTATCCTGATGAGGCTGTTCAGAGATTGGACCGCTTGACGACTCAAGTTTTTTAAAGGAAAGTTCTGAGAGAGAAAGGACTAGATTCGGAAAAAGTGCTTTCACTGAAGAAGAAGAAAAAAAAAATAGGTTTGTGCATTTTACGCAAAGCTCAAGGCTACATTGGGTTACCTCTTGAGTGCACTTTCTACGTTTCAGCGATCTGGAATCGACATACCTCACCTATTCTGGCATTGAGGAAAGTAAGAATCGTTCGTGGATTTTCTGCTCTCTGAATTTTATGTTGGTAGGATACATACAGAAGGATGTTACAATAGTACAGAACTCCGATGTCTCTCAGGATCCAAAAGCAACATAAGAAGTTGACACATACAGTGAGCCATAACTAATTCGTGAGCAATGTAAAAAGTACTGTTTTTGATCGTAGTGGACGAAAATGGAAATGAAGAAAGAAAAGGTTCATAGATGTCCTCATATTAATAGTGCAGCGAATGATTCAAAGATGCTCGATTGAACAGTTGGAAATTAAATAGGCTATGGAGAACAATGCTAAAGTCCATTTTTTCACATCTTAAGCTTTTTGATTTCAAAGACTACTTAAGGTGATGGAGGTTAGCTTTCAGGCATTATTTAATCCAGAGGTTATGAGACTTGCACAGTTTTTTGTGGTTTTCTCAAAAATGGAGAAAATGGACGAAAGTTGTTTTCGCACATGCCGATTCAATCTGATGCAAATTAATGACAATTAAAGAATACTTTGCGCATTGTGTATTGAATACTTGTGCTTATTTCATTTTGTTTACATTCCCTCTTTCTGCTTTGAGCGGATATTGATAGTTTCACAAGTCAGCAATCCTCAGGAGGGTGCAAGCCTAATTTAGAAGAAAAGCCCTTGATTTTAATCCGACTTATTATGATGGTTTATGTCCTAATGACAGTAATGGCTTACCAAATTACTCTCACTGCCTGTTTCGTCTCTGCCCGTACACAGTACAGCGATTTCGGCCAGACAGAGAGAGCAACGCCTCAACTTAAACACAGGGTGTTATAAAAGAAGATATCCTTCTTCAGTATCTTTTGAACAAATTCAAAATATTGAAAAACTCCGAAACGCCCTTAAGGGGCTTAACAGTGGAAATTTTCGCAAAAGAAGTCCCTCTCAAAAAGTTTAAATAAGTGTTTCGGCGTTTTTCGATATTCAAATTCGTTTGAAAGATATTCAAGATGGATACCTTTTTTTTTTTTAAACGCCCTGTATTACATACTTTAAAAAGCGGCTAATTGCATACCTATTTACTCTCACTGCCTGTTTCGTCTCTGCCCGCACACAGTGCGGCGATTTCGACCAGACAGTGAGAGCAATTCCACACGGAGAAAAAAACCTCGTCCGTGGGACCCGAAGTTTAGGTCATATGGATCTCTGAAGTTTTCGGATTGAGCATCTCAACACTTTAGATCTAGCTGTCGAGGTTCGGATCACACACCTGAAACTTCAGTTCTTACATCTGAAGTACTTCAGTTGTGAGAACCGAAGTTTTTCGGATGTGAAAACCGAAGTACTTCAGATGTAAGAACTGAAGTTTCAGATGTGTGATCCAAACTTCAGCAGCTAGACCTAAAGTGTTCAGATGCTCAATTCGAAAACTTCAGAGACCCATTTATGACCTAAACTTCGAGTCCCACGCACGAAGTTTTTTTTCCGTGCAGAGCTTAAATACAGGGTGTTTCAAAAGAGCCTATCCACCTACATCCTGTGGAAAAAATTCGAATATTGGAAAGCGCCAGAACGCCCTCGAGGGGCCAAAGGATGGAAATTAACGAAAAAGAGGTCTACCTCAAAACGATTGTATAAGTGTTTAAATATTCGAATTCGTCAAAAATATAACCACGGTGGATACTTAGTTTTGAAACGCTCTGTATTACATATCGACGGTGTAAGTCGGCAATCACATAACTCAGTTTGCGACGTCGCAGACTTCCTGACATACTTTGTTTTTTAAAAGGAAAATGGGCCTGTTGCATGCTAGAGATACAGCCGCACGAATAGACTATTTAGAGGTTAAATGACACGTAAATTACGATGGTCACATTAAAAAAGTCTGAAATACACCCCTTACTGCGCTATTTGCGTTGTTACGAACGCGCTTTTTCAAAGTTCCCGCGTCTGGGGGCAGTTTTCAAATCACCGGAAACGAGCAAACGGCGGGCTCGGTGATTTCCGGAAGATGCCGAGTCGTTGTTGTTGTTGTTATTTATTCCTTTAGTTCATTTACAAACCCAACGTGATTTCTTAGAGTGGTCCATATACGCTTTGTGCGATAACCAAATCGATCAAATTTAAATATCCAACGCAATCCTTCTACATTTCACGATATCACGAGCTCCGATTTTCAGGTTATGTTGTCAGTTTTAGTTGACCGGAAACAGCCGCGAGTTGCCGTTAATTGTTTCCGTTAGAAAACTGCCCCCAGACGCGGGAAATTTGAAAAAAAGCGTTCCCAACAACGCAAATTGCGCAGTAAGGAGTGTATTTCAGACTTTTTTAATGTGACCATCGTAATTTTCGTGTCATTTAACCTCTAGAAAGTCTATTCGCACGGCTGTATCTCTTGCATGCAACAGGCCCATTACTGAACGGCAATTCTTTAAAATTGCCGTAATTTCCCTTCTCTGTACGGGAAAAATTATGCAAAAACTTCAAGGAATGATGTCAATTTGTTCTCCTTTAAAAAAATAACATAGAGGCGGAGACTTTCAGAAACCGCAAACGAGATATGTGATTGCGGACTTACGCCGTCGATAAGTATTTTAAAACACGACAGTTTTCATAGGTTTAGACCTGTCATTATTCGATGAGAAAGCGCACAAGGAGCATCACTGACACATAAAGGAACTCCCTAAAGGATAAATAGATGGCGAGGCCGGAATTCTCGTGCTAGTAGAAAAACCTTGTCTTGAAAATACAGATATGTATATAAGTACGGAAAAGAGGGATAAAATCCGATGTGTGAGTAACTTTGGTGATAATGAATTTCTCAACAGTAATCATTGATTCATGTCGAAGGTGAAACTACGAACCAAACCACAAAACTTGGTTTGCGACATCACAGACTTCGCGGTCATATTTTACTTCTTACACGGAGAACGTCTTACGTCACTCAAACTTACTCAAACGTCAATTGTTTAAGACTTTCGTGATTCCTCTCTGAACGAAGCAAATTTTGAACATTTTTCGGGGAATCACGTTTTCTCCTTTAAGAAATAAAATAAGAGCCAAGATTTTTGGATGTCACAAAATATTTAAGTAGTTCGGGAGTTTCGCCGTCGCGTCAATACATACATGGATTACATTTTGCAATGAGGAACCATTATCTCTGGCTCTCCCATAAAAACACATATCTGCATTGGGAAACCAATGGCACGTATGTTGTTTCTAAAATGGGCCAGAAATAAAGGGTTCCTTATTGCAAAATGTAATCCACATGACAAATTGCATATACAAAAAACAGTGGACAACCAGATTACAATGATACAGTCCACGCCAAATAAGTTTTCGCACTTCTAGACTGCGACTGAAGATCCGCCATCTTGATTCTTTCATTTACTTTCAATGACGATCTCCTTTCGCAGTCTAGAAGTGTGCTTAATTATTTGGCATCGACTCTAATTCTCTAATGCTTTGCAGATGCTATCAAATAACTGCAGATTAGAGCCGAACGACCGGGAGCAATACTTTGTCTTGAATTTTGGCTGTTCAAGTTAAAGGCTGATTTGATGCAATTGCACCATTTTTTTTTTTCTTTCTTACTGACTATGAGCTATCAAAAATACTCAGCTTCGAGAAAATGCCTCGTATTTAATTTAATTCAATAGAGCAGAATTAAATGGCTATAAGCAGCGGTAATATAAACGCCTTCGGTAATTTTCGGTTGATTTCGCCTGGTTAACACTGAATAGTAACCAAAGGCGTATAACTAAATCTAAACGACGGAAATATACCGCGGTCTTACGGCTCTGACCTGCAGACTTTGTTACATGCTATCTATTTTTAAAAATTTTAGGTAATGTTCATTATTATTTCCATTTGTCTTCCTTTTTTTTTATTTTTTTATTTTTTTTTTTAAACCATTCATTGTTTTTTTTCATTGTTTTTTTTTCATTTTTTTCCATTGTTTTTTTTCCATTGTTTTTTTTTTTTTCATTTTTTTCATTGTTTTTTTTTTCATTGTTTTTTTTTTCCATTGTTTTTTTTTTCATTATTTTTTTTTCATTGTTTTTTTCCCGTTTTTTTTTCAATTTTTTTTTTCTTACTTATTTTTCCGAAGCTCAAGATTATATGGACGTATTTCTGTCAAACCGAACAATGTGCATTATGAATTGAGCTCTGTTATGCACACAGTCTTATGGCTCTCAGGACTCATGTCTTAATGCACATAGTTCCGTTTGACAGAAATACGTCTATATGCGATAGTAATAAACTGAAAATAAAACTTGCGCATCGTTTATAGACTCATAAGTAAGCTCCGTCATTAGCGAGCGACTTAGTGCAATAAACGATACGGAAGCTTTTTACACTGTTTTTCCAAAAAGGTCTCTTAAGATTTGACATCCCGGGTTCTACGTCGTTTCACCCACATCCCTAACCTCAAAAATCTTCAGTATATTAGAGGTCAGCCTAGTTTCTTTTCCCCATCTTCAGTGTACTACTCGGGTGTTTTTCTCGATCCATCGCTGTCATCTGTTTGAAGAAAGGCACAGCCCTGGTTCCGAATGGCTGGCACATCTGAATAAAGCTGCTTCTGGCAAAAGGGGCTGCTCAGGCACTCCACTCCTATCGTCGATTCTATCTGCGGATTAATTGAGTTTCAACACCCACGGAGCATTAGACATGCTCACCGGGTTGGTAGCGTTGTAGCAGGCGTAGAACGCTCATTTAACCGTTGATGAAATGTTGTCCGTTGTCCACGGCGGTAAACGCCGACGCCGCCAGCCTAACTTGAATGATGAATAATACGTCCAAGGTCGTTGACCAATTTCTAAAATTGAGGCGTCGCAGAAATTTTCTGACGAAAGTCACTGAGCAGAGGTCCGTATCCAAAAAAGGAGGGCATTTGCCTTGATTTCAATTCACTGGGCTAGGTTTCGGTTGAGCTTCGTGCGTCATTGGGCTTTGATAAAGCACATGTTCGAAAAGAAGGCTGAGGGCAAAAGCCTTGAGTTATTCAGACTGAAATTCGTGGATTCTTCAAGGAATCGATATGAAAAAAAATTGCGTACTCCAATTTTCTAAGAGGCGGACGCAAGGGCGCGATCCGGCTATGTTCGAACATTTCCTGTCACTGACTTTGATCTTATCGGTGAGAGCGGAAAAAATATAATTATTACAATAAATTCTAAGGCACAGATCTTCATATAGACTCCAATTTATCATGCGCCAAGAAGTAAATCTTTGCGTCGCAGACTGGAGACTGTCGACTTCTATGAAAAAAAACATTAGGCCGAAATACTGATGGTGAGGCTCATGTTGGACATGGCATTTTTCTTCAAATATTTCAATAGGCTTGGACATGGCATTTTTCTTCAAATATTTCAATAGGCATAGATCCAAAATCCATCCGAACGAAGGAACGCATTCAAATCGCAACGGTTAACGTGATTAGCGATATACTTGACAAAACTTCAGTAAGAAAAAATCTGTGAAGTGCGAGAATCTAGGTTTGGCATGGAGTGAAGAAATCCTGAATCTTGCGCCTTTGAGAATCATCGTTTTGCATTCATTTTACAAGCAAAAATCAATTGCGTAGAGTTGCAAATTCCAAAGGTTGAAGAAAATTTCAGCTGGTGAAGGACGGATCATGACGCCACATTCAAATCGCAACTGTTGACGTGGTTACCGATATTCTTGACAAAACTTCAGTAAGAAAACATCTGTGAAGTGCGAGAATCTAGGTTTGGCGTGGAGTGAAGAACCTTGCGCCTTAGAGAATCATCGTTTTGCATTCATTTTACGAGCAAAAATCAATTGCGTAGAGTTGCAAATTTCAAAGGTTGAAGAAAATTTCAGCTGGTAAAGGACGGATCATGACGCCGCATTCAAATCGCAACTGTTGACGTGATTAGCGATATACTTGACAAAACTTCAGTAAGAAAAAATCTGTGAAGTGCGAGAATCTAGGTTTGGCATGGAGTGAAGAAATCCTGAATTTTGCGCCTTTGAGAATCATCGTTTTGCATTCATTTTACAAGCAAAAATCAATTGCGTAGAGTTGCAAATTCCAAAGGTTGAAGAAAATTTCAGCTGGTGAAGGACGGATCATGACGCCGCATTCAAATCCCAACTGTTGACGTGGTTACCGATATTCTTGACCAAACTTCAGTAGGAAAAAATCTGTGAAGTGCGAGAATCTAGGTTTGGCGTGGAGTGAAGAACCTTGCGCCTTAGAGAATCATCGTTTTGCATTCATTTTACAAGCAAAAATCAATTGCGTAGAGTTGCAAATTTCAAAGGTTGAAGAAAATTTCAGCTGGTGAAGGACGGATCATAACGCCGCATTCAAATCGCAACTGTTAACGTGATTAGCAGTATACTTGACGAAATTTCAGTAAGAAAAAATCTGTGAAGTGCGAGAGTCTTGGTTTGATATGGAGTGGTGAAATAAATTTTGTGCCTTTGAGAATCATCATTTTGCATCTTCATTTGACGAGGAAAAATTGATTGCGTAAAGTTACAAAATTCAAAGGTCGAAGAAAATTTCAGCTGGTGAAGGACGGAACATAACGCCGCCCTAATACTTAATGCAGTTGCTCCGCTTGAGTAAAAATTGGGCCTTCTGGTTGAGACGAAATCCGGTCGAAACCCCCGCTGAGCACACGAGAAAAGATGGAGAAAAAGAGCTAGAAATGTTGCGGAGAGAGGGATGTTCGGTATGAAACCCAAATACCGAGAAGATAACTTTACTTAATTACTACACTACCTGTAAAATAAAATAGCCGTGATAGCGAAGAGAGCCGTAAGTACAAAAATGAAGTTTTGAGAAGCTCAGTAGCGCTTGAGCGGATAATTTTAATGAAAGAAGATTATCACTCTATCGAACTGCCACCAGTCACACAATAACACGTTTCAAGATTAGAAAATGGCAAAAAAGGCGGCAATTCATACTGAGAAGTACAGCTTTCATTAATTCTCTGACGGAATGATACCCCTCCAACTGCTTATGGTTCGAAGCAATGACAATTTATGCGCAATTTCGGCTTTCTTATGTTGGTTTCTGCACAAATAAGAATCTTGTTGTTTTAACTAGTTACGAAAGTGATAATTATTTATTCAAATTAGAAGGGACAAATTTTGAAGTAAACTCAATTTAAAAAATTTGAGTTAAGATTTCTTCGCTATCACGGCAGGACAATGCTGCAGACAGCCCCTGTCAGCAATAGGCGTTTAGACGCACTTTCAGTGCTACAAAATCATGAGAACTTGACTTCATTTTGCGATAGAAAACTACTTCTCATTCTCATTTCGGAAACTATGTGCAAGGCATTAGTTCCTTTGTGCAGATGGGCGCACTTATAAATGAGTCAGAAATAGAAGTTTATAATATTGCGAAATGAAGTCCGATTGAACGTCATTCAGCGTGGTGATCTCGTGGAAAGGGCGGGAAAATTGATTTTTCAATACTATCGATCAATTTCTATTGCTTAACTGTGACAACAGTCAAATTGCAACAAACATACGATTGACGAAATAATTGGGCGGCATATGTAGGAATCTGAATTTAGTTTTCCACGAAGAGAGCTTTAAGCTTAAAATTTTCTTAACACGAACACACTTTGACTAACATCTAGACAAACGTATCCTTCGTCATTGATCAAAATGCATTTTTGAACAGTAATAACAGTGCTTATTGCTGCAAATACGTATCGATCGATAGCATTTTTGTTGATTAGCATTACATGATTTCTTTACTGCTTTGTCCAAATGTGCTAAGGGCAAAGCACCTTCCATAGTAATATTACTTATTCGTGCTGGACACGATGAATTACCGTAGACAGCCCCTGACGGTTAGGCAATACAAATTGTTCTTAAAGACGGTCAGGTTATGAGCTTCCATATATTTTATTATTGTACAACTGTTACTTTCATCCCTTTCCCTTCTTCTTACCGCGTGACTTTACAGAATAAGTTACTCAGGAAGACGTTGCCGAGAAAAATGACATTTTAACAATTTCTTTTCATCTTGATCAGAGGTACCCTTAAAAATATTTCAGAGTTGATTATCATTAGCCTGTGTCACACTATCAAAGCCGCTAATCAAAATATCAAGGTCAGGTGTTGTGATTGGCTTATTCGATGACTTAGATCAAATACAGCACTTGACCTTGACATTTTGATGGAGTATTTTGATAGTGTGACACGGGCTAAAAGAAAGGCCTAATTTTTCTTCCGAAGTCAACTTTTGCAAAACCTCTGGATAGAAATATTTCGAATTCTGCTCGAGCCAGAAACGTACGGATGCTAGTAAATGACAAGGATATTACATGCAGTTATCTGCCAGAGGGGATTTTTAACATTAGGCTAAGTTGTTTTTTCTGTCCAGGCAAAAAATAAAGGGTGAAAAAAATTACCGACAGAATAACAAATTTGAGAAAAAAGGTTATACCATTCATTTCAGAAAGTTTTTTTAACCCCCCCCCCCCCCCACCAAAAAAAAACGCATTATTTAGTAGTGGTTACGAGGGGCAATTTGGTCCATCGAGGACACATATCGCGTCTCTAGCTCAGTCTGAACTGAAAAAGTTCTCCCACAATTCATGACTAAAAGACGATAAAATTTCAATTTACGGTACGCGCAGTAAAGAATTACATAATAATTCCAGAAAATTTTGATTTTAAACGTTTTTTTTTACAGTCTGAGTGTTACTTACTAAGTACAGTTCTAAACTTTTTCTGAGAGCGCGAACTAAGACATTTACAACGTGCGTCAATATACAACATGAATAAACAAAAATATAAAGGAGGAAATGAAGATTTCACAAGTTTTAATCAATAAGTCAATTCAAATTATGTACATTATTATCCAACACATTTGTTGAGGTCACTGTTGAGAGAAATTCATTATCACCATACGAAACATCTTTGAACAATTCCTAATTTCAATTTCCATTTTCATTGCTTCCTACCTAACTTTTCTACTTTTGCTGTTGATACTTCAACCGGTTCTGAGTAAGAGTACAGAAAACTAGATACATATTTGCATCATTTGCTCAGTGGAAACTTCGCGAAGAAAGTAGGTGTCACAATGAAAAATCACTGTTAGGCTTTACACGTTGCAATGTAGTGAGACATAAGTTGAATCAAAATTTGCTGGATCCTGAGAAACATTGGAGCGCTTCGAGTAAGGAACATAAACCGGATTGAGAGTGGACGGAGGGGATGATTCTTCAGCTTCAAAACTAAAAGTTTTGAAAGTAAAACATATTTACATTACCGGAAAAAACTAAAACCTATCCTCTGCCACATCATGATTTAGACACAAATTGTTCACAAAATAGAAAAACTGAAAAGAAGAAACAGGCCCTGACGTTCGATAGATATCGAAGTAGATAAAGCGAGACGCTTCACGGCCATAGAATAACCGGATTTAGAGTGGACGGAGGGGATGATTCTTCAGCTTCAAAACTAAAAGTTTTGACAGTAAAACATATTTACATTACCGGAAAAAACTAAAACCTATCCTCTGCCACATCATGATTCAGACGCAAATTGTTCATAAAATAGACAAACTGAAAAGAAGAAACAGGCTCTAACGTTCGATAGATAACGAAGTAGATAAAGCGAGACATGTCACGACCATAGAATAGTTGTATGGGGAGGAAAAGCACATTCTGTGGAGGGCAGTAACGAAAAAAATGACTCATTTTCGCGGTTTTTCCAATTTTGGAGGATTTTGTACAACACTTTTTGAATTTCCACGACGTTTTGGTTCAATTTAACTTCGATCCTCGCCATACAACATTTTTTCATGCCCTCCTCATAGACTCCTGTTTAAGTCTAGGGCATTGACCGTCCACCCAATATCGGGGCGCAAATAGGTACGAGTATGACACTGAGACACAATGCTTCCTCACTCGACATTTTGAAGTCTACATATAATACATAATGAACCCCAGTTTATCGGTGTAAAGTTTCAAGTAAGCTGTGATCTCTCAAATCTTTTTGACTGGTTAGTTTAAAAAAAAAAAATAAAATAAAAAACCTTTAAAAATGTTAAGCCTCTGGGATTTTGCATGTAGGTTGGAAATATGTTACATACATGAGTTAGTTACTTTATTCTAAAAGTATGCTCATGTTTCTGTTGCGCTGTTAAATTTACGAATATTGAAATTACGAAAAATCATAGTTCAAATGTATTGATGCAAACAAGCGCATGTGTTCAGAAAATGTTTGGTTCCGAGAAATTCTTCGATGGACAGTGCGACGAGGAAAAAATATGAACTGCATGTTTGTTTGGCAGTTTGTCATTGGTCAAAATCAATATAAGGGATGTAATTTTAAGTAGCCTTGAGTTTGGATCTGTGATAATGAATCTCACTACGGAGAGAAGGTCGGCTCAGACGATTGAAAAAAATTCGGATTCATGTAAAGTGAACAAAACGTGGAACTAATAGATCGCGAGATACTTGGTACTTTTGTCACATATAATTCATATCCGACTCCATAATATGCAGCTCGTGCGATCAGTTTCATTTTTAAAAAAATTACGTGAATTTTTATTGAGACAATTTTTGGGAAAACTGCAAATTAGAAGTGGACCTTTAGGGTTTCCTCATCTCTTTGAGTCTTGGTGTGGATTTTTCACAGGATTTACCGTGCCAAATTGGAGTCCAGTCGCCACTCCACTCTATATTTGAGTAGCTTCAGCAGTTATAAGTAAATGAAAGAGAGAAATAAATTGAAAGCCTAACAGTCAGTTTTCTTGAGCTGCCGATTTCGTGTATTAACTGGCAGCGTTTATTCTATAGAAATCTTTAAAATAGATCAAAAAATAGCGCCGAACCCTCTCGCACGATACATTCTCGTGAGTCGCGGCGACATGAAACAGACCGTCACAGTGCGCGTCGAACCAATTAGACGCGCCGGAGGTACAAGACGAAAGATTTAGTTAACAACGACACCGAAACCTCTCCGAGAGATCAGTCATTATCAAAGATCCAATCATATATTATGCAAATATTTATCATATTAAAGGTCTGGTAGCTGAGAGTATAGATAGACTTTGTCGAAACTTCCAATTTTCTCTACAATCTGAATGGAAAAGGTCGTCCGACTGACGGCACAGTGGATGTAAAGATCAATGTTTCTTGGAGACAGTTCCGTAAACGTTCCCCGGTTGGTGC